AACATTCTGTTACTAAGGACCGAAACCGCTCGCACAGTGCCTAAACAAGCTTGAGTCTGTTCTCTCCTTTTTTCCATTATCAGTATTCCCAAGTAATAACATCTCAGATATAACAGACTCACCCCTTTATTGAGCCTCTTTTTGACTTCATCATCCACTCCCTGCACTTTACTCCGTATAAGCTGCTCGAGAGTATTTCTGTTTGGTAAACTGATGGTTCTCTAAAGTAGATAAAAAGAGTTTCTGACCTTGAAGTTCGACTTTTTCAGACTTTTTACCTTAAAATCGTACTCTCTAGCGGATACTGATCCACACCTCTGTCCGTCTGTTTGCGTGTCACCAGGCATGGAAGGAAGAAACTAAATAAATAATGGTCTGAGAAATCAACGACAAAGATTCGTTGAAGGACTGTCAATCTACCTGATGCCCTTCTCCATTCAGTTCCTCTTGCAGACGCTCTCCAACTCCACACAAATCACAATATCTGCTGAAAATTGCTATGTTGAAAACATATAATACAACTATTTCTTTTTTGCTGCGCGGTCATCGCCTGTCTACATTTGGCAAATGTTTCACTCCACTGCAAGTGCAAATGCAAATCCGGTTATACTCGGTCCAGTGTTCGATAATGTCCACTACTGGATATCGCTGATCATCGCAACATCCGAACGTCTCTTTAGATTGAGAAGTATTGAATGCTAATCAATGAGATGGTCAATTTGCCCTGTCTGTTGCATTATTTTTTCAGTTGAGTTTGGTTGTGTAACTTCAGATCACAAGAAAACAGAAAAGATGCTCGATGCTTGCTGTTTGTAATCTCCGCTTTACCAAAATTTCTTCTGCCTATTAAGTGCTATTGTTTGCAGTCAACTGGCAAGAAAAACAATGTTTTCTCTTTCTTCTTCGACAGGAATTTTTCTAGACGAGGACAAAATGCAGTGAAAGAAATAATGGATAATCTGAGGTGAATCACGCTCATTCTCTCGAATGTTATCAAATCGTGACGTTTGAATGCCTTCACTCTCTTTTGCCCAACCAAAACAAGCTGAAAGAAGCCCTCATTGAAGTCAAGACAAGGGTAGGAAAATGGACTTTAGGAATAAATTTGAGTAAAAGTAATTTGAGAAGATGGCGTGCAAACCACTGTGACATTTGATTGTTTACATCACAGTCCTTGGTAGAACTGCACCAGTTGTAAGAAGATTTCAATATTAAATGAAGATAATGGGTTTTGTTCGAACAGTTTTTAAAGATTTATAACTTAATACTTTCTCAAAGAATTTCCATTTTAGCTTTGTCTAAAAGAGATCATGCGCTTTACGAGAGAATATAGGTACTTTTTAAAGTTCAAATTTGCAGAAATTTTAGGTCGCGCCGAAAGTTCTGTCGTTTCATTTTCAAAAACTCGTTACTCTGCGTCCGAAAGTTCTGTCGTTTCATTTTTAAAAAATCGTAACTTTGCGCAGTCTCAATAAATTTACTCGCACTTGGTTTCATTTCAAAAAATCGTAACTTTGCGCAGTTTCAACGGATTCGCTCCAACTTAATTTTATTAGAAAGATTAGTCCTTTGCTTTCGGAAACTGTCTTGATGAGCTTCTGTTTCATACTGACTGCAGAGA